AAAGAAAGAAAGAAAGAAAGAAAGAAAGAAAGAAAGAAAGAAAGAAAGAAAGAAATAAGAAATAAGTAATTATTACATATATAGTGCCGGTGAGCTTGGGGAAGTTACGTTTTCGAGCCAGCTAATTGTTGCGGTTTTGTTGACTAAAAAGAACATTAATTCAGAATGGTTGGATTAGTCCCAAAACTAAGGTCCACGTTCTTGATGAAACTAAGAAGCATGCCAAAAACACAAGTTATTACTGACAGCTATTCTTGAATCTTGGAATGACCTATCTTGGAATCTCCTATCGCTTTTCAGCTATTGCATATCAACTTTGGCGATGACAACCTTTTTTGAAAATAGGCATATAGTCAAGTGTTACTGAACAATGAAGAATACCTGGTCATTGAAAAGCTTGCTGTACCTAATCCTTTCTTTGGTGTTGCTCAAAACTGTTAACAAAAAGTTGTAGGCTCCTTTGGGGCTGAAACTTTCTCCACCTCTAGTCACCCATAAAGGACCAAGAACTGTTGTGGTACTTGGCTGCAGTATGCGCTCCAAAACAGGAACTTTACATGAAAAAAATGAATATTTAGATTTTTACAATAAATTGACTGTTAAGTATTCCAAGCTTTATTCTAAAATAAGACCCGCACAAAATGGTGCTGATGTAGATTATCATATTACATTACGTAACATCTCCCTTCTTATGAGAATCATGCAATCACATATACATGTAAACAATACTATGTAGAATAGCGTAACAGGAACCACGTAAATAAAGGAATAATAATAATAATGTCAATAAGGTCTTAGTAATTATGACTTGAATGTGACATGGTCTTTTAGGTAGGCTGGCTCCCTTCGGGCCCTGACAGGCCAAGGTGGAGCATTAACTGCTTCCTCCTGGATGTTCTTTGCCGATTGGGAATGTTTCTCCTCGTTGTTATCAGCTTCTGGAGCCGACATTGCAGTTTCTTCTTGTACTTCGTCTTCTGTTGTTTTCAGGTCTACTCTATTCCTTCAGTAGGTGGCCTCATCTGTCTCTACTTCATACGATCTTTCGTCTAGTCATCTGGTTACAACAGCTTTTTCCCAGGACGTCTTGCCTAATGTCATAGCCCTCATTCTGACTTTGTCCCCTTCTTCCAGTGGTTGTAGGTCTCTAGCACCTTTGTTGTAGTAGTGTGTTTGTTGATTCTGGCCCTGCTTGAGTTGTTTGGTGACTGTGTTTCAGTCAGTAGTGCTTGGTTTTAGCAGTTCTGCTGTCGTCGGTAGTGTTTTGGTGCGTCTCCCAAAGAGCCGCTGTGCCGGACTTGTTTCCATCCCTTCAGTAGGCGTGTTTCGTATTGCTAAGATAGCCAGATATGGGTCACTGCTGCTTTGCTCTGTTTTATGCAACATGTTCTTTGCTGCTTTCACTGCCGCCTCCGCTTTGCCGTTGGCTTGTTGGTGGCCTGGACTGCTTGTTCGATGCTCAAATCCCCAAGCTCCAGCAAAATTCAGCAAACTTGTCTGATGTGAATTGTGGGCCATCGTCACTGACCACTAAATCCGGTATCCCATTTCTTGCAAAATGGCACTTGAGCTTGCATATGCAGGTGCTTGCCTTGGTGTCCCTCAAACGATTTATCTCCCAGAAATTTGAGAAATAGTCTAAGAGGATGAGGTAGTCTTTGCCCTTTATCGTGTATATATCAGTGCCAACTATTTCCCATGGTCTTTCGGGAACCTCACGCGACATAAGTGTTTCTCTTCTTTGTCTTTCTGTGAACTGACAGCATACTTCACATTGCAAAATGAAGTTGCGGATGTCACCATTCATCCCTGGCCAAACATGCACTATTTGGCTCTCCTTAGGCACCCATTGATGCCTCCATGGAAACCGTGCAGCTCATGTTTCATCTCAGAGCACAAACTCTTTGGAATTATGAGTTGCTCGCCTTTAAATATCAGACCATCTTGGGCTGTTAGCTCGTCTCGGAAGCAAAAATAAGGTGCGAGGATTGATGGTAGGTTACTCTTTTCCTCTGGCCATTCATTGAGGATGGTCTGTTTAAGCGTTTGTAGCACGTCATCCTCATCTGTTGCCCATGATATTCTTTCCTGTTTCTGTTCAGATATTGACAGGAATTTCACAGCGTTGAGAGTTTCAAATTCTCCTTTGACTGTTGCTGCTGTCCGGAATGTACGCTCTACTAAGAGTGCATTCAAGGTACATTCGAGGGCCAGGCTTGTAAACAATTTTGGCATCGAATTTCTGGACCTTAAGCAGCATCCCTTGGAGTCTTTTGGGTGCGTTTTTGAGTGGTTTCTGAGCAATGGCCTCGAGAGGTTTGTGGTCTGTGTCTATTGTCACTGGGCGGACGTAGGCGTACTGCTCAAACTTCTGCTCATCTGTCCACTGCCATTCAACTTCTTTGCATGTCAGCTTCCTCAACGGCTCCGTAAGGTCGCTTAGTCCTGGAAGAAACTTTGCCAGGTAATTAACTGCGGTGACATCCTCTGGTCTGGGCATCTCTGTTATGGCCTTGACTTTATCAGGGTCGGGCTTGAGGCAGTTGCTTGAGATCACATGCCCGAGATATGTTATCTCCTTGCAGTGCAGCATTAGCTGCTTGCAGTTCAACTTGATTCCTCGTTCTTTGCAGCGTTGAAGGAAAGCCTCTAGTTTGGTGTCGTGATCTTTAATGACTTCCTCATCAGTGTCTCCTGCTCCGCATATCACCATATCATCGTGGACTGTTATCACACCATCCAGTCGATCGAGAGCCTTTTTTGGAAGATTTCAGAAGAAACACTGAAACCAAACGGTAGGCGTTTCCATTTGTATCTACCAAATAGTGTGTCGAATGTTGTTAACTTGCTGGAATCGTCATCCAGAGTCACATGCCAATAAGCGTTGCAAGCATCAACCTTTGTGAAAATTCATGCTTTCACAAGACTGGGAAGAATATCCTCTATTACAGGTATGGGGTACCGCTCCCTTCGCAGTGCCTTGTTGAGGTGTAGGGGATCGATACAGATGCGTAGATCACCGGAGGGTTTTGTAGCTACGACGATGTTGCTGACCCAGTTTGTGGGCTCGCAGTGTTCTTACCAGGCCGCGCCATTGCGGGATTCGAGCACAAAAATCAGAAATGGCGCACAAATGTCACCTCTATGCGCCCCCAGGGTCGCATGAATTATCCAAAGAATACTTCCTGATAGTTTTGAAAGATTTATAGTACTTTTGAAATAATAAAAGTAGCATTATATTGTCGATAAACGAGGTGAAAGTCCACATGAAACGCCACGAATCGAACATAGCCGCCATCGCCTGACCTTGTTTAATGAAGGCTCAAAAAAGGACAAAATACCTTTGTTTCAAACGAACATTTTTAAAAATTAATAATAACATGTGAGGGACCACTGTAATTGGCACACGCTGTAGTGGTTTCCCAGCCATTATGTATGTATGTATGTATGTAATTATTCTCGTGTGTGTGTGTGTGTGTGTGTGTGTGTGTGTGTGTGTGTGTGTGTGTG